CCAAGCTAAAAAGTTGTCTGCGAAGATACCTCAATGTAGCCTGTTTTAGTCGGCAAATAGCTTGCTTTATAAGCTATGAAATTTTAGGCTGTGAGTACATAACAATAATAAACTATTTCATAACTCGGGTCGCCTGTGACGAACTTACACATGTTTTGTCTTTTCCCGTTCTCCTGTTTTTGTTATACATTTTTTATATTTTACATTGTTTTATGTGAGCTGAGTATATGGATATATCTTTTATATCGCTATTTATGTTTTGATGCTGCGCTACAATCTCGTAAACCGGAGCTGTACTTAACGGAAAATATATTTCTATTATAATAATGTTAGATTTATTATTATTATTATAATAATACAGTTTTTTATATATGCACATTTTTTTAGTCCAAATGGCACTCTCTGTATTACAATGGTAGAGCGCTTTGTAGTATATAGAGTAGGTACTGAATGTAACTCATATAAAGGCTATAGTATAAATATTTTGGTTACTAAAATTTATACCGATTGACAGGAAAAAATTATTCAACCGCATGAAATTTATAGCCTTATATGTTATTCTAATGTATAAAGTATTTACTGTACAGTTCCATTAAAATCCGTTCAGTAGTTTTTGCTTGAAAGAGTAACAAGCGTGTATGCATACTCACAAAGTTTCGCGTTTATAATATTAATTAATAAGATAAACAACGTCGTAGGTTATATAATAATAAACGTATATTTAAACCTTAATCTCACTACTATAAGTATCATGTGAGGCGATGTGAATGAATTTGTGTTCGTAGTACGTAAAATTAAAATGCGAAAATGTATTGAGTGCACACTCGCGAACAATTGAATGCATCGCCTCAGATTTGGCAGTTCATTCGTTGCAAAGCCCCAATGCAATAAAATGGAGCGCCACAGCCAGGGGAATATCCACCGTGAGAGTAGCGCAGTAAGATCGACAGTCGCTGTACGTTCACCGGCATGTAATAGTGTTGGGGTGGTCTGAAGGGAGTCGTCGGTACATTTGCGTTTAGATTTATCGCGGGCTGCAGCACGCGTGCAGTTCACGCACTCTCCGCCTATAATTGATATATCACTGTAGCGATAGCATTATCCGCGGCGCTCCTTGCATCTGACTCACATTTAAGACTACAACATCCCCCCCCCTCGTCCCGTACCACCCGCGCCGGCGTCTCGCCCCTCGGAGTCACCCTCAAATCACTTACTGACATATCCTCCCCGTTTTCATAATAAAATGATAATGTACATTGTATACGTAATTTGTAACATTGCAACATTGTCGTTTATCATTCCGTTGTTGTAATCAAATCTAAATATACATACAAGTTACCCGCGGCCCGGACTCGCCGCCGCTGTCATATAATGAGACATACATACCTACACACTGTATCGACTTATTTAGCACTAGCTGTGCCCGCTACTTCGACCGCATGAAATGACCTTGATCAAATAAAGAATATTTAATAATATAATCCAACAAGTACAAAAATAAAATTTCTTTTGTATGTGTACCAAATTCAATTTATATCTTTTCCATATTTTACATAGTTTTGTCGTGAAGGCGACAGACATACAGACAGAGAGAGTTATTTTTAAATGCTATATATAACATTTACATTAACTAAACAAATCATCATCATAAACAAATGCTCGTATCGTACTGTAGTAGAGGTGCGTGGCCGTGCATTTCACTGATAGCAGGGCCGCCTCTGATGTTAATCTGAAGATTAATTGAAGAGTGGCGTTGAATTATTAAAAGAGTTGTGGTTGTTTATAATTGAATTGTTCAACTTTAATTTACCATTCAAAGTGCGTCTGCTATGAATGGAATATTCAAATTGCAGTATTCCTTTGTAATAAACAAGCTGCACCCAGGACTTCGTTTATTCAACTTGATGTAATAATTCGTCAAATTTCGTTCGAATGAAATCCTCTTGCTGTACCTTGGAGAGTCAGCTACAGACAGAATATCGGAATACGCTTCTGTGGAGATCTTCACTAGTTGAACGTTATATATTATAACAATACATATACGAACGAATCAATATCTAAATCAAAAACCAAGATCAACAGCACTACTGTCGGTCTAGGTTGACCGCTGACCGGCCTACTTCTAAAGTTCTAAATCTATTTTGCATTCAATATGCGCCTAAAATGGTGTTACGACATAACCAGTGAACCCTCCAAAGTATATACTTCAATAGCCATAGGTGTAGATAAAGGACTCTTTGTTGAATCGAAATTAAAATATTTACTTGGACACGGGCTACGGTTACAGTTTAACATCCGATGAGCCGTATGCTTGTTTGCCACTATTGGTTTAAATAAAAGTTAAGGTAAGGTACAAATATTATACGTGTTTAAATTCAACTTATAAGATTAGACTCGATATTAAATCAAGACAAAATCTAATAATGATTTTCATGTATAAACAAACAAGCAAACAATTTTTTTAATTAATGTAGCATGTTCTTGCATCCAGACAGCTCGTTCGTTCGTTGCTGACGTACGGGCCATATAGTTTTATATTTCATATTTATATTCTATTTTCTTTTAAGAATTTTGTTATATATTTTTGTATTGAGAACATCTTAGTGTCTAATATATATTGTGACATACAACAACAAGTATGATTCAAATTTTTTATTTAAATTATAAAGGAAACTATTCGCCAAAGTCAGATAAGGTATGTACACACAAAAAAAATCGATCCATCCATCATTGTGTGTGTGGACCTATCTAGTCGTGACCGCATGGGCTGCGCGTGTGACGAGTTGGTTAGAAAACAAATGTTTAGTATAACAATCTAATCGATACTTCAAAGAGCACAGATAACGTCAGCTGGCGTGGTGCGGTGTGGGGCGGTGTGGTGTTGACGCGTGTGTGCTGTGTGTACATGGCTGAGTGATGTCAGTACGTGGGCTCGGCGTGGCGGCCGCTCACGACCGGCCAATTGCTCGCGTGCTGCGCGTGCACTTATCTACTCTAACATCTACAATACCTTAAATTATACGATACATGCTCAACAATTACATAGAATATTTTACGAGCGTTTTATTACGTTTTATTTTCTCGAACTAGTCAAATTCTGTAGCTTGAAATTCTTCCACTGTAAACACGCGGTATGGTGCGGCTGAAGGACAATAGTCGCAGGATAGGCAAACGGGTAGTATGACACTCCTGCTCACTGCGGGCCTCTTCAGTTTTACTGGGGCAAGACTGCCGTTTTTGAGAATATACTAAGCAGATACATTTTTGGTAAATACATACATAATATAGGTACATAGAAAAAACCCAGACTGACACAAACAATCATAATAATGAATACAAATGTTTGTACCGTGCGAGGAATCGAACCCGCGACCAAGCGGTGTGTTAAACCACAGACCACCGAGGTCGTCAATATAATTGTGTAACAAAAGTTTATGAAGATGTTTTGTCGGACAGAAGCATGTCCATTTATTTAAAAAACTGTGTGTAATGATAAAATTAATCAGCCACTTGTACTCGACGGAGGCTAGATGCTGGAGATAGACGCCGCGCCCGGCGATGTTCATTAATCGGCGTCACCGCCACAATAGCTGTCGATGAGTGTCGTTACAGTAATCCACCCCCGCACCATACTACCACCCGCCCTACCAACGTGAACTTTAACAGAATAATTTTTCGTATCAAAAGTATCTATAGCAATATCAAATGTATTATAGAATTTAAGTTGTAGTATGATTTGTATGGTATATGTAATTAGTATAGCAAGCAAGACTGATAGTAATCTGACAGTAAGTGGTGACGGTCCCCTGTACGCATGTTTTGTCCTTGTGTGTATTGACTAATATGTTTGTTGTCTGCTCGTCACGGCATACTCGCTGTGTGTCACGCTTCACTTTTATTCCTTTGATTAGGTCCCGAGGAATTTTCCTTTTTATTTAACGTAAAATGTCCTGTACACATGAACAGAACTATGCATTGCCATTCACGAGGAAAATGGCATTTATTCTGTAACTGCACAGCCTTTATCCGATCAACCTTTTTTTTAACTACTCTGATGCTGTTGGCCGCAGTTTCATCGGACGATAGGAGGCAGTTGGCACTCCAAACCAAAGAAAGGACGCATGGAGTGGCTGAAGGCCAACTCCCGCCTGACGGCTACAACTTTAGTCTAAGGCCACTGCTAGGGGTTCGAACCTCGGCTCAGGCCGTCGTAATTTCGATCCTCGCTTGAATTGGACGGGGGATCGGTTGGAGGGGCGACCGGGGCACCAGGGAGCACCCGGGCGCGCGCAGGCGCACGGTTGACTACGCGGTATGTTGAGGTCGTCATCTTCGCCGGCGAGGACGGTGTCGTGTGTGTGTGTCTAGACGGAAAGGGTGGTGGATGGATTAACTGCCGTTATGGGGTCATCGGAATAAACAAGAACGTGCCTCGGGCGACGTAGTCGTGCATGTTGGATATGTATTCAGCATCACAGCTTATAAAGCAAAATTCTTGGCGGATGAAGTAGATGAGAATGAAGTATGTACATATACACACGCATACACCTTTTTACCGAGTTTACCTCTATATAATAATGACCCGACAGTCGACTACGAGATATTTATATTTACTCATTTATTTGTACTTTGCATTATATAATATTACAGTAGGTAGTTATTGGGTATACTTTCAGCATCTGCTGAAATGTCAATTATGAACCTATTGGGCACAGAGAGCAGAAGAGAAGTAGGAAAAGTTTATTGTGTGTTTGATAATTAGAAAATTATGTTAAATTATTATAATGCATGTTATTATTTCTTTTAATATTATTTATCTGTATATAGTTAATGAATAAAATTGTACAATATTTAATTAAGTAGGTATGTCATTTATACATTTAGAAATAGTAGAAATACATGTTATAATTAATAATCTATTAAATTTTAAAATTAATTAAATTGTAGAAGTAGAAAAAGACTGTATTATTTTAAATTATGAAACAAAAAAAAAACATAAATCAATGATGACAGGCGTGCGGGCCGGGCCCGATGCAGGCCGCGTACGCCATCATGTGCGGGATGCGGCTCTGCTCGTAGGTGCCCGTGAACAGGTCGTGGTAGGGGCCCGCCGCGAACACCGCCACGTCCTCCCCGCCGTGCGTCTCCTCCTCCAGCGGGACCTCCGCGTGAGACTTCCAGTCCAGGTCACCTGGCAGTAAATAATGGCAATAAAATTACTACACTCAAGTGACAGATTGATAAGAAGCTTCAATTTAAACGACATCTTACAAGTATTGTCCTGTAAACGTCCTGTCTGCGGGCGTGTAGTTTGCTCTTGTTGTAGAGCATGGTGTTATAGTGCCCATATAAAAATAGGTTATTCCGTATTTATAACATTTATCTCTATACCTACAGTTAAATGAAGGAAAATAGAGTAATTATAATTTTGTGTTCGGTAGATTTCTAGATTATTGTACGGTATGTCTTTTGCTATAAAATTTAATATTTCATGAGATTCCTCCAGAGGCATCTCATGAAATATAACGGGCAATTAATTTCTATTAGTCTGTATCCATTATATTTAGCTGTTAGTGTGGGGTGCCACATTTACATTGTATACAGTTGTCTTGGTACAGTGTACGTACTAAATTATGTATATTAAAATATTTTCAAAGATGTGAATAAAAGTTGAGAACAATATAGTGTCGATGTACTGACCGAAGTCCTCCTCGGCGGTGACGTCCGGGCGGCGTCCGTGCAGGTGGGGCCTGGCGCCGGGCCCGTTGGCGTACGAGAGCGTCATGTAGGGGAGGCCGTCGTCGCCGCGGTCGTCGGCCGCGCCCAGCACGCCGGCGCCGCGCCGCGAGTACCCGCCGTACGACATCACGTGCGCGTGGTCCGCCGTCACCACCACCAGGCTCTCGTCGCCCAGCAGCTCCGCCGCGCGCCGCACCGCCGCCGCCAGCTCGATGCTCTCGTCGAGCGCGAGCTGCACCAGGTTGTCGTGGTGCGCGTGGTCGATGCGCCCGCCCTCCACGAACAGGAAGAACCCTCTGTCGTTGCGACTCAAGGAACGAATCGCCACTTCCGTCATATCGGCCAGCGACGGCTCCGTGTCAGGGTCCGCCTTCAGGTTGTATTGCATGTGATTCCCCTCGAAGAGACCCAGTAGATATTCCGGAGGCGACGTCGACAGCCGCATGAGCTCCCGCCGGTTCCACACGTATTCGTGACTGACGTTGCGAGCCGTCTTGTCCTCTAACCATTCGTCGATTAAATTTCTGCCGTCCAATCTCTTGCCTTCGGTTCCTTCTTCGTCGACCACGGTAACGGGCAAAAACTCCCGTCTTCCACCTCCCAAAATCACCTAAAATTTTAATAACATTAATTTACAATTATAAATATTGTTTCTAATAATGATTCACGTAATATTAAAAGTAATAAAAACCTTTAAATGTGTTCCGGGATAGCTGTGCACCAGTTGTTGAGCGATGTCAGCGGGCATGTTCGGTGTCATTGGACAGTCTTCGAGGACGTCTGCGTTACTCTCCCAGTCTCTCTCGGCGGAGTGTGCGTACACGCCGGCCGGGGACGCGTGCGTTACACGGGTCGTGGTCACTATACCTAACACATTCCTATGTATTACATACTGACAATACAAATAAACAAAAAAAAGGATAATTAGACTGCGACGGTGGGTACACACAACCTTTATGTATAAAAGGAAACTACGACTGCCTCCCGCGCTACTCGTACCTGTACCACGGCAGCAAGTTTTAAATATTATTCCTCGTAACAGGTTACTGTCTTCATTAGTAAGGAACGTTAACTTTTAATTTTAGTATAGAACATGTATTTACCGGCGTCTCTTCCGTCTGCGAGTGCCCATTCAGCAATGGAGTGTACGTAGTGTTGGGGGCTGACCAGCGTACAATTGGTGCGTAGTACGTCGGCGGTCACCCCCAGGGTGCCTCTGTTGGCTTTCACGCCGCACAGGTACGCTGTGGCCGTGCACGCGGAGTCCGCCGTCTGCGCGTCCACGCAGTATGTCTGCAGTTTAACAATAAAATCTACCAAGTACTATAGCTATACCAGAGACTTCGTCCGCGTGGTATTTAGCTTTATTTTTCTAATATAAAAGTAGCCTAAGTTACTCATTAAATCAGCTACCTGCCAATAAAAGTCCCGTCAAAATCGGTCCAGCCATTTCAGAGATCAGCCCGAACAGACAGACAGATAGACAAAAATTGTAAAAAATGTTATTTAGGGGTATGTACTGTATTCATATTCATATACATTTAGTAAAAAACGGTTATTTCAATATTAGAGGCAGACACTCCAATTTTATTTATATGTATAGAGTGTATGTAATATCTAAAGTAACTGTGGATACTGCACATTTTACCAGAGGTACACTGTAAAAAGTCGTCACCTATTTCAGCTGGTTCGGTTGTGAAACTCAAATATATAATTATTTATTAACACAGGACCTTTTGGCCTCTTGTGCGCGTCATATTTTTATCACTATCACTACTGTCCGGTTCATTTGTGAATAAAATCAACTGAACATTTACTACTGTGCCGTGTTGCACATACTTTTGAAAGTCCTGTTGTGGGGAACGTTTCGAAGAACAGCTGGCTCTCCTCGCCGGTGCGTCCCTCCCGCTGGCCCTGCAAGGTCCTGGCGGCGGCCAGCGTCGGCAGCGACATGCCGTCACCCAAGAACAACACCACATTGCGCGCCTTGTTCCGGTTCAGCGTATTACTCAGACGAGATTCGATGCCCAGCCGCGCCTCGTTCAACCAAAACGCTGGATCTGCTTCTTCTTGGATCTTTACAGTAGGATATTGTTGGCGCTTGTGATAGACATCCCTTTCTGTCAAAATTAATATAAATCGTAATAGTAATAATAATAGTAATAAATATATCGTATTTGGGTTGTCTGTCACAACTTGATACATGTATTATTTTTTATACAATTTGTTTTATGCGCTATTTTACTTCGCTTAAAAGACCTTTGCTGAAATTCAGCGCTGTAGTTCCGTCAGTAGTTCTTTTGAGCAGATATTTTATAGCATCTTTTGGTGTATTTTTATGTCAGTGTGGATACGTCACGAATGGGTAGATTGAATGTTATTCCCGCAATGTGTGCTGACGTATCTGAATTATCCCCGAAATACTGCAGTGTTGCATTTGGGGTTACCGAGGTGATCAACAGCAAGGTATATTTAGTTGGGTCCTGCTTCCAGACTAGCTGTATATAAAGCTAATCGCTATATTTTGTTATATCTAAATCTAATTTTCTAAAAGAAACCTGATTGGTGAATGATATCAAGTATAAAATAAATAATTGAAGACATCAATTTAAATATAATATTAAATTCTATAAATTTTTTGTAAATATATTTTACTGGGGTGCGGTAAACTCACCAAAAGACGGATGCAGCAAAACAACAAAGAGCGTCAACAGTAACAAGTGGCCGCGACCCATGGCGCCCATACCGCGGCAGTACACTTAAAACTTTTTAGTAAAACTGTGTAATATATGCACAAGTGCTAATACGATACTGAGTATCGTGAAATGCCAGCATCTCATCTACTGAGATAAATATAGTTGTAACAAGTGGACAATGATAAATTATGATAAAACATGACACTTATTGGCAACGGATATGACTAACATATTACTTGGTACATAGCACGGAGACGTTCGATATTAGATCGAGATCATTAGTGTTCACATATTGAAAACGCACTACATAGGTACACAACAGTAGACTCATAAACTTTTTTAGAAATTTAAACATCTACCTGTGTTATTATTATTTAATTTTATCCTAACCTAATAATGTCCATTACTAAATTAAACGAATCCCGATCTGTATAACGTGAACTACGACGCGATTACACACCAAGTGGGTGAATGAAGATTATCACAACCGGATATTCCTGCTCGCACTCGACTGAACATTCAATTCAAACTATCAGCCTATATCGTACTCATTGATGTGCGAACAAACTTCACAAACCCAAATATTAGACGTTTTGATAAGAACGAACCAAAACTTGAGGAAGTGGATCCTGCGCGTGCCAGTAGCTGACTATATCATGTAACACATTAGGCTGAGCAATAGAAAAGTGTAGTTTTCTCATGGCAATTTTGCTGGGTCATTAACTGGCGCCGCGCTCCCGGGGACGTTTATTGGCCGACTGCTTCGCGCACCTAATGGAGCTTTGATGAAAAATGAACGCGCCGCCGCCCGACCCCGCCCGCCCCCGCCCGCCGCCGCCCGCCATCAAATGTCTCATGTTCTCCAATATCTAGCCGCCACAAACATACACAAACACATTATTAATAAAAAATAATGTCTACTTTTATATTGAATTTATTTAGCAATTAATATCACAATATTTCATTAGATAAGTCACTATAAATTAAACAATGCACTATAACTATATGTACATTTTTGTCGTTAAAATAATATTTTTTTACACTGATATACAAATATTTATATTTTTTTAATTTGTACAAAGAATATTACATGTATTAATACGCAGTAAGAATAATTTATTTGAGCATGCGTGAATAATTGAGAAGGTACACGAGAGTGAGAACGACAATGGTGGCGAGGTGGGCGTGCGAGCGGGCGGCGGCGCTGCAGTAGTGCAGGCCGGGCCCGATGCAGGCCGCGTAGCCCATGAGGTGCGGGATGCGGCTCTGCTCGTAGAGCCCCGTGAACAGCGCGTGGTGCGGCCCGCGCGCGAACACCGCCACGTCGTCCCCGCCGTGCGTCTCGTCCTCCAGCGGCACCTCCGCGTGAGACCTCCACCAGATGCTCCCTACAAAGTATATGCATTACATATCAACGGAAAATTAAAAAATATATATGCAACGCTACCGGGAACTGAGTAATTATATTCCCTATTATTTCTTATAGTAAAGATGCCGGGTATTGACATTAAAAACTTCGTCCTAAAATCTAACCATTTATTGGAAACCACCACAACTTATTGAAATATTACCTGTTAAAATTTTCCTATTTATTCACTGTAATCGAAAATACTGAAGTCCAATGCCAATTATTTCTAGATAAATATAGAAATATGAATACACTCACCGATATCACTGTCGTTCGTAACGTCCACACGAACTCCGTCGACTTGAGCGCGCGCGCCGGGTCCGTTAGTGTATGAAATGGTCATGTACGGTACACCGTCATCACCCAATTCATTAGAACGTCCAATGATACTGCTTCCACGGGGTGAATATCCATTGAAAGCCATCACATGCGCGTGGTCCGCAGTCACCACCACGAGGGAGTCCTCCTCGGACAGGAGCTCGGTGGCGCGCTGCACCGCCGCGTGCAGATGGAGGGTCTCGTCGAGCGCCAGGTGGACGTAGTTGTCGTGATGGGCGTGGTCGATGCGCCCACTCTCCACGAACAAAAAGAAACCATTTTCGTTGCGACTCAGGGATCTTATTGCGATTTCAGTGAGCTCGGTGAGCGTCGGTTCCATTGTAGTGTTCGCTTCTAAGTGGTATTGCATGTGAGAGCCTTCAAAAAGTCCCAAGAGATATTCCGGTAGTGATTCAGATATGTTCATCAGTTGTTCCCTATTCCATACGTAGTTGTAGCTAACGTTTTGTGCCGCCCTGAGTTGTTGCCATTCCTCGATGATGTCTCGTCCGTCTGTTCGTCTACCCCTAGTGTTTTCCTCGTCGCGTGTTGTATTCGGCCGAAATTCACGCCTTCCACCGCCTAAGATAACCTATACGAGTAAAAAGAATATTTAAGTTTGAATTCATGTATTAGATACTCTAGTGGTCTATAAAACTTCATCATTACTGACTGAAACCTTTATACACTTTAAGAGTAATTATGGTTTCTTTAACAACTTCTTTGTCTATTAACTATTATAACAACTTTACATCTTGAATGTGATACCTTGAATTGATTTGCAGGATACATGTGTACGAGCTGGTGTGCAATATCGCGACAAATTGTAGGATCCTGCCCGTCCTCCACTACTCTGTCGTCATTTTCCCATCTTCTGTTAGCTACCTTAGCGTAGGTGCCGGCGGGTGACGCGTGCGTGATACGCGTCGTTGTCACAATACCTGCATCCCACAGTTGTACATAAATATTGGTATAGACAGAATAGTGTTCGCTGTTATAGAACAGAATAGTAGATGTATGGATACGTACCGACGTCGCGGTCGTCCCGCAGCGCCCACTCGGCGATGGAGGCGAGGTGCGTGCTCTCGTCGAGGGACGCGGCGCAGTCCCGGCGCGGGACCGCCGCCGTCACGCCGATGGTGCCGTGGTTGTTCTTCACGCCGCACAAGTACGCGGTGGCCGTGCACGCGGAGTCCGGTATTTGTTCATTCACACAATACGTCTGTAATATTGTAAATATTCGACGGGAAACGTCAAGCATTACAGAGTTTACTTGGCGCACAGTGAGGGAAAGTTTTAGTCGTCGTTTGTAAGTATGCCAAGAACGAAACGGAGCACATTGGGATGAAGTGATTTTTAAAAAAGAATTCCCCTTTTCTGTAGATTACGACGCAATCTTTTTTTTCAAACAGTACATATAATTATTTTTATAACATAGCTCAAAGGATGTCCCATCCTGTGTAATAAAATTTTAAAAAATCTTAAGTATATTGTTATATATGAAAAATATTGATCATGTCTATTCAATTATTGTGTCCAGTAGTTCATTCCTAAAATTTAAAACTTTTGTATTAGACGACTAGACTATTAAGAATAATAAAAATGAGAAATCTATCGGGCACTTTTCGTGTCGGTAAATATATATGAACACTAGGTGCAACTATCAGTTTACCTTGGCTAATCCCACAGTGGGGAAATCTTCGAAGGACAACTGTGACTCCTCGCCGGTGCGGCCCTGGTTCTGTCCGAGCAGCGTGCGCGCGGCGGCCAGCGTGGGCACGGACATGCCGTCGCCCAGGAACATGACCACGTTGCGCGCCTTGGCCTGGCTCGTGTCGTGTCGCAGGCGCGCCTTGAGGCCGGCCTGCGCCTCGTCCACCCAGAACTGGGCGGTGCGCTCGGCGGGGTCGATGGCCGCCGCGGCGCGCGCCGACAGCGGCGGCAGCTCCGGGTGGCGGCCTCGGGCCAGCGCCGCGCCCGCGCACCACCACCACAGCGCCACCGCGTTCACCGACCACCACGTCTGCCGGGACATATGCATGCTGCTCAGAAACGGGTGAACTGCCCGGGGTCTATTAAAGTATGTCTTTTATCCGCCCGGTATATCTAATCAGAATTAGTAATCACAGCTTTTAAATTAGATAAATTGGCAACAATAGCGGCATGAATTAACAAAAACATAGTTTAAAATTTGTAATCCACTTCATAAAATGTACACGTTCTCATTATCACATTTCACGTTACGATCATGCCATGTAATATTTTTAAAATAAATGTTGCCTGTAATATCTATATAATGGTATTATAATTATTACCCGACTACAGCGAAAAGAAGGATTATGATTTTGACTTACATATATTTATTTATTTATTTTATTTCCACACTTACATCTATTTTAACAGGCCTTAGCCTAATACAAAAGTGCAACAAACATATTTTTTTTAAATTAATTGTAACATATAATAAATAGAGCGATCTTGGTGAACTAATTCAAAGAACAAGAAAATAGATCTACTTGGTCCGTTATGTACTTATGTATGTATAGTATAACAATGTATGTTCATATGATGCTCAAAAGTTAACAAATATTTAAGAACACAGTAATATCACTATGTCTCTCTATAAATTTTCTGTCTACTGTCCTTCCTTACTACTATATTGTCACTTTCTTAATGGCATATTGCTTATAAGTTACTGTGTATAAATATTTCTTTAAATTGATATAGTATAATTGTATATTTATATTATGTATAATGTGTCTATGTTTGATATTTAAATTTTTGTATTGTTTTTAATTTGAATTGTTCATGTTCGGTCTATTACTATTATTAATTATGTTTCTCTCTTTGCAGCCATGCGCCATCCACCATCCTCTGTATTTTCTTCTCTACCCAAAGCTTTATTTATTTATTTAAGGTAATCATTTACAATTTATACACAATATATAGTTTTACGTAGTTAGTAAATACTAGATACCTCAAGAATTTATCTTTAATGTTAAACGTATATTAAGTTGGTTAGTTAAAAACGATACAGTTAAACAGGTCAGAGGCAAAGATAAAGAACAGGATAGGGTGAATATAATCATAATGTTATCTGGAAGTGATCGCTTAAGCTATAGGACCGCCTTTCCTATATTCTATATATCCATATATGTATTACTATGTTATCTGTGGTCCATACTCTACATATTCTGTATTTTCTAATGTGCAATAAAGAGTAAGAAATTAATAAATACATAACTATCTACTTTTAACTCACTTGTCACAATTATTTAAATGATTCGGAAACATTTTGTTTGGCCGCCCATTATTGTATCAGATAAGAAAATTTTCTTGTGTCATACTTTTTAGAATGTTTTTCAGTGGCCTGGTATTGTATGTATTAACTTAGTTTGTATACATATATGTATTATATATAACAGTAGTACGCTCGTTAACTATAGGAACCGCAGACGGCAAAAGTAGCTTCTTATACTGATTTTTCTTTTTACCGGCTTTTAGATAGATAGATAGATATATCGTTTATTTGTTTGTTACTCATTACACACAATTACATGTTCATAAATATAGACAATATATAAGTACATAGTATGACGTAAGGTTTACAAGTTTACTGTACCTGCTGCCTAAGTATTATGTACCGGAGCCGTAGCTGATCCGATGATGGATGTTTGTGTCTAGGAATATGAGTCGAATGGGCAGTAGTCAGGTAGTGGATATGAAGCATGTAATTCATCACATCGCGTCATCTCGTCACTGATTGCTGTTATCACTATTGTAATGTAAGCGTAGATTACGTATTTACATGCTTACACGAACCTATGTTACACATAAAATGCAATAACAAAACATTATTTATTGAAAATTCGTATGCAAATCTTTGTTTTACCAGCAGTTGTTATACCTGTGATGTTGAATGTTTGTAGTACGAATATATTTTTATTTAAATAGTGTTCGTGTCTCTTGCAACATTATTGTAATCTTTGAGCTTGGGACCGTGTGTGCGGCTCGTGATTACGAGTCAATATTATAATCGTTACTGATATGATGCCTGTACGTCTGTCGTTCTTCAGAATCGGCGAAATTATCGCGAGGCGTACACACAAAGGAAACAACCGAAATAGAAATACTGTCCTTTGTCGAGTTTGTGGTAAAATGATAGGCTTTGTTTATGTAATATATACGTAACGTACCAATTTTAACGACGTGACATTGAAATGTGTCGTTTTCAAGTCAAGAAAGCATCTCTTTACTTGCGCACACACGGGTAAGTTTCAATATTCTACATATAGTTAAGTAAATTAAATTCATATTTGATATACTAGCAAAGTTCATATCTCACACACATATGTTTAGGCGATACTTATAAAAGAATACAAAATCTGCGATCAAAAATAGTTTTATTATAGGAATCAGTGTACATAATATTATAGATATTTTAAATTTAATAATAATTTAACAAAATATGACTACATTTTTGGTACTTTTCGTAACGTTAAATGTATGACATTTAACATGAAATACGACATGGACAGCATGTAGAATTGTCTAACATAAACAAATGAGGACTACTAGGGAGTGTTAACAGGGGCGGGTGCGTCGCAGTAGCGCAGGCCGGGCCCGATGCAGGCCGCGTACGCCATCAGGTGCGGGACGCGGCTCTGCTCGTACACGCCGGAGAAGAGCGCGTGGTGCGGCCCGCGGGCGAACACCGCCACGTCGTCGGCGGAGTGCGTCTCGCTGCTGCGCGGCACCTCCGCGTGACTCCGCCACCGCAACTCACCTGGCGGACGGGACGATGGACACACCACGAACATTCATAACATTCAATTACATAACAGAGCCGCCGCGCCGTCTAAATGTATACGAGGAATTGTTACAAAATATATATATATATATATATATATATATATATATAAACACCTCTTTGGGCACTTTGTTGATCACGCCACAACCTAAACACTTGCCGATTCCACCTTTTGCACTGAATAACTTGACTCCTATCGCGTATATTTCAGGCGGGGTGGCAACGTCGCATTCTATTTTGCGATGTGGCCATATATATTCGTCGATAGTACGATATACTCGACACATTTTTTACTAATAATTCGTGCATGACTGGCTCCGAACGGCTAAATTTTTGGTATACACAAAGACTTTTTGGCTCTGAATATATTTCAAAAATCAATTAATTATGTTGATCACTTTATATACTCGTCCTTACTGCGATACTTATTTTCATCCGAATATATATAGATACCGTAACGGTCTATCAATTATGAATTTATTAATTTACTAATGTAGATATTTTATATTCGCAATGCTCCATACATAGTAACTCCACCATTGCAGGGGGGAGCACCGTACACCGCACCTCGCGCACACAAACAAATTAGATATTTTTTGAATACACAAAGACTTTTTGGCTCCGTATATATATTTCAAAAATCAATTAATTGTGTTGATCACTTTATATACTGGTCCTTACTGCGATACTTATTTTAATCCGAATATATATAGATACCGTAACGGTCTATCAATTATGAATTTACTAATCTAGATATTTTATATTCGCAATGCTCCATACATGCAAGCTCCAGCAACGGTGGAGGCAGGGGGGAGCACCGTACACCGCACCCCGCGCACACAAACAAATTAGAATAAATTATATTCATAAGATTATTTATGTATTTCGACTGCCTCGGTGGTCACACCGCTTTACATCCGATGGTCGCGGGTTCGATTTCTCGCACGGTGCAAACATATGTACTCATCGGTCATCGATTGATTTCATCGGTCTGGGTGTTTTATATGTATATTATATATGTATTTACAAGATAAAAATATCTATTTATATCAGTTCAGTATCAGTCTGTGTTAATTGTCCAGCGCTATTTATTATATTTTTATAAACGGTTATCTTTTTCCATCGCACCGCTCGCTATCGACAGTGAATTCATAGAAATGTCACTCTAAAAACAAAAATAGTTTTGTATTTCAAATACTAAATGCAAAATAGGTATTTTCAAAATACTTTTTCAAAATAAAGTACCTTTTGAATTTTTGTCCAAACCTCAGATATTTTATTTATTTTACATAGGTATATCAATCATTACATAGTGTAGTATAAAACAAAGTCGATGTCGCATCTAACAGTACATAAATAAAGAAAGAAGACTTTTTGGCTCTGATACCGTAACGGTCTATCAATTATGAATTTATTATACCTAATCTAGATATTTTATATTCGCAATGCTACATACATTGTAATATCCGCCTCCATTCATTGTAACGGTGGAGGGACTAAATAGTTGAATAAAACTGAATAAGCAGTTGCTCCACTCTATAGGTATGCGTCGTCGTCGTATGCTGTTCATTTTTTCACTCGTTTTGGCGCCAAGAGAGGGTCACATAGTCGTGGTCAAGTTAAGAACTTATAATTTAATTTTGATGACAATAGATACAAGTAAAAAGTAGGTATTATATTAATGTACGTAAGTACTGTACTTAAAAATATTTATTCTTTATTGTACATTTGAAAAACTTAACACTTAAGGACTTGTACATATACACGTACATACTGCCATTTTCTCTTAAAGACATCCAGAGAAGCACTATTTATCAAATACGCGGGGTGCACCGACCTTTGACCTTATAACAGCTGATTCGCGCGTAACGAATTACATTGCTACTTACATTACTATTTTATAGTGGATATTTCACTATAAAATATTATTATTTCTTTAGATTATGACATAATAGCATAGTTTACATGATTTTAAGGGAAACATACGATAAAAAAAATTCCCGTAAAATGTAAAAGATAAAAAATGGTTATTGTTGGTTATCCTTGAGAGATAGACATATACCATCACGGACTTTTTTGTTGACCTTATTTTGATACATCTCAAAGCACTAGACAATACGCATTTTCATTAAACAGTATTGTATTTTTTTTATTTATTTAACTTTAATGCACAAAAAAATTTGTACATGTGGCGGACTTAATATCTTGCCGCGTTATTTACCAGGCAACCATGAGTGGTGCAGCGAAAGATTATTGGCGGTGCACTAATATAAATAAGAAATGTCAAAAAAAGATATATAAATACAAAGCAAAATATACATTTCTATAAAAAAATAACAATATACATACATAAATATATAACCCATAAATGTATAAATAAATACATAATGACCCGATAATCAAATTATAAGTACAGTCTCAAATTGAAAGTAAGAAAAACAGAAAATATAGAGAGAACTATAGGGATATAACAGAAAGATGTTAAAAAAGGAGAAGGACAGTAAAAAAGTTACAAATTTAAATAATATTCCCGCAATTTCTGTTTAAATGAATTTATTACATTATTATATATATTAGGCATACGACTAGCCTTATGACTGTTACTTTTTTATAATCTATACATCTATACATGTAAATAAAATTGGAGTGTCTGTTTGTAATATTGAAATAACCGTTTTTACTACTTGCATATAAATATAAATCCGGTACATACACCAAAATAACATATTTTACAAGTTTTGTCTGTCTGTCTGTCTGTTTGTTCCGGCTAATCTCTGAAATAGCTGGACCGATTTTGACGGGACTTTTTTTGGCAAGTAGCTGATGTAATAAGGAGTAACTTACGCTACTGTTATTTTAGAAAAATAAAATAAAATTTCACGCGGACGAAGTCGCTGGGGCCAGCTAGTCTATAGATATACCGAGATTTAATATTTAAGTTGCTATTATGTTGTTGACAAAATTTTACTGTAATGTTACTATTACGTTATCCTACACAATTTGTATTATTTTGGATAAATAAATAAATAAATAAATAATAATCTATACATCTATACATATAAATAAAATTGGAGTGTCTGTTTGTAATATTGAAATAACCGTTTTTTACTACATGCATATGAATATATATAAGGTACATATACCAAAATAACAATTTTTATAATTTTAGTCTGTCTGTCTGTCGGTCTGTTTGTTCCGGCTAATCTCTGAAATGGCTGGACCGATTTTGACGGTACTTCTTTTTAGCAGGTAGCTGATTTATAAGGAGTAACTTAGGTTACTTTTATTTTAGAAAAATAAAGTTTAATTCCACGCGGACGAAGTCGCGGGAACAGCTTGTTTTTAATAAAAACATCTTTTTTGTGGTACTTGAGAATGTTGAAGCCTGTTGTTTGTAATATTGAAATAACCGTTTTTTACTACTTGCATATGAATATAAATACGGTACATAATACACCAAAATAACATATTTTACAATTTTTGTCCGTCTGTCTGTTTGTTCCGGCTAATCTCTGAAATGGCTGGACCGATTTTGACGGGACTTTTTTTGGCAGGTAGCTGATGTAATAAGGCTACTACCTAGTAACTTAGGCTACTTTTATTTTAGAAAAATAAAGTTAAAAACCATGTGGACGAAGTCGCGGGAACAGCTACTGTATAATATATTAGAGATACCTACGTGTTTTTTTATTGATGACTAGCTGTACACGGGATTTCGTCCGTGTGGAATTTAACTTTATTTTTCTAAAATATAAGAAGTTAAATTCCACGCGGTACAGCTAGTTGTCGGTAGTCTAGCGATTTAGCTAGCACACTGCTTTGATTCCTGCTTGGTGGTCGAGGGTTCGATTCCTCGCACGCTGCAAACATTTGTATTCGTGAGTAGGATTGTTTGTAACGGTCTGGGTGTTTTCTATGTATAGATAATATATATGTATTTACGAAAAAAATCTTTGTATTTATATCAGTTGTCTAGTACCCATAACATAATCTTCAGCTAGCTTAACTTGGGTCTAGATGAAGCTGTGTGAATTGTCCTGAGATTACTATTATTATTAATTGGTACACAGGTAAACTACTAACTAGGCCATATTGGTGTTGTTTGTTATGGTGAAAAAACTAGTATATATATAAGTTACACGTACAATTTCAAAGACTTATTTCTTCAAAACTACTGGCTATTCTGAAATAAAACTTTAGGGTTTGTATATGTAATGTTTGCATATAAAATATGATTAAAGGTTACCAGTGTATTTACACTTTTACTGAACAAACAGAGTTGTTTAATAGTGAAAATATTGTGTGGAAGACATCAATTACTTTCAGTACATGTATAGCTTTTCTCTTTTTCTAATTATTATTATTATTAAGTTTAAAGTGGTTGAATTTTACGTAAGGGGTATTTATACATTATTTCTAATTTACCATTTATTTTAAGTTTTTTAAACTCTATTCATCGAGACCTATCTAATGAGTCCAAACACGATATTTCTGCTGTAAGTTTTCGAAGAGTATGTTCATCATCTGATAATACTGGTGCCAGCATGAAGTCAAGGTTAACAGATAACTAATTACTTTTATTTCGTCAAAATCTTTAGATTACGTATAATAAATTCATAATATCGCTACCTATTCAAATCAAAACAAGTATTAGGTACTTCATGTACTAGTATATAAATTCATCAACACACAAGTAAATGATTTTTAAATGTATTCAGAGCCAAAAAATCTTTGTGCATTTAAAAAAAATTGCCGATACGGATTCACTATTGCAGGAAATTGTTGAAAAAATATATATCGCGTATAGGTATCTACTACTATCGACGAATACATTTGGCAACAACGCGCAACATATGCGATGTTGCCGTTCCGGCCGAGACCATGCCGGAACGGCAACATCGCATATTAGAATACAAAGATAGTGATAGAAAGAGAGAGACAGTGGAATCAGCAATATCTACGGATCGTGGCTGGATCAACTAAGTGTGCAAGTTTATATAAATGTATATATATATATATATACATTTGTCTTTAATTCAAAGGAAATATAAATAATGAACGCATCACATTTAAAACAGTATAAATAGTTAATAATTTAATAATAAGTTAATAGTTTAATAAGTACGTACGTAATATTATCACATGGTAACAGCACGTATTATGGCAAAAATAAACATCGGCTGATTTGAAAAGATTTATTATAGTAATAATAGTAATCTCAGGACAATTCACACAGCTTCATCTAGACCCAAGTTAAGCTAGCTGAAGATTATGTTATGGGTACTAGACAACTGATATAAATACAAAGATTTTTTTTCGTAAATACATATATATTATCTATACATAGAAAACACCCAGACCGTTACAAACAATCATACTCATGAATACAAATGTTTGCAGCGTGCGAGGAATCGAACCCTCGACCACCAAGCAGGAATCAAAGCAGTGTGCTAGCTAAATCGCTAGACTACCGACAACTAGCTGTACCGCGTGGAATTTAACTTCTTATATTTTAGAAAAATAAAGTTAAATTCCACACGGACGAAATCCCGTGTACAGCTAGTCATCAATAAAAAAACACGTAGGTATCTCTAATATATTATAGAGTAGCTGTTCCCGCGACTTCGTCCACGTGGTTTTTAACTTTATTTTTCTAAAATAAAAGTAGCCTAAGTTACTAGTTAGTAGCCTTATTACATCAGCTACCTGCCAAAAAAAGTCCCGTCAAAATCGGTCCAGCCATTTCAGAGATTAGCCGGAACAAACAGACAGACGGACAAAAATTGTAAAATATGTTATTTTGGTGTATGTACCGTATTTATATTCATATGCAAGTAGTAAAAAACGGTTATTTCAATATTACAAACAACAGGCTTCAACATTCTCAAGTACCACAAAAAGATGTTTTTATTAAAAACAAGCTGTTCCCGCGACTTCGTCCGCGTGGAATTAAACTTTATTTTTCTAAAATAAAAGTAACCTAAGTTACTCCTTATAAATCAGCTACCTGCCAAAAAGAAGTACCGTCAAAATCGGTCCAGCCATTTCAGAGATTAGCCGGAACAAACAGACCGACAGACAGACAGACTAAAATTATAAAAATTGTTATTTTGGTATATGTACCTTATATATATTCATATGCATGTAGTAAAAAACGGTTATTTCAATATTACAAACAGACACTCCAATTTTATTTGTATGTATAGATGTATAGATTATTATTTATTTATTTATTTATTCATCCAAAATAATACAAATTGTGTAGGATAACGTAATAGTAACATTACAGTAAAATTTTGTCAACAACATAATAGCAACTTAAATATTAAATCTCGGTATATCTATAGACTAGCTGGCCCCAGCGACTTCGTCCGCGTGAAATTTTATTTTATTTTTCTAAAATAACAGTAGCGTAAGTTACTCCTTATTACATCAGCTACTTGCCAAAAAAAGTCCCGTCAAAATCGGTCCAGCTATTTCAGAGATTAGCCGGAACAAACAGACAGACAGACAGACAAAACTTGTAAAATATGTTATTTTGGTGTATGTACCGGATTTATATTCATATGCAAGTAGTAAAAACGGTTATTTCAATATTACAAACAGACACTCCAATTTTATTTACATGTATAGATGTATAGATTAAAAAAAAAGTAACAGTCATAAGGCTAGTCGTATGCCTAATATATATAATAATGTAATAAATTCATTTAAACAGAAATTGCGGCAACATTATTTAAATTTGTAACTTTTTTACTGTCCTTCTCCATTTTTCACATCTTTCTGTTATATCCCTATAGTTCTCTCTATATTTTCTGTTTTTCTTACTTTCAATTTGAGACTGTACTTATAATTTGATTATCAGATCATTATGTATTTATTAGATATTAACTATTATATTATGCATAAAAAATATTTGTAATAATAAAGAAAATACATTTAAAATGTTTTACTTGTTGTGTTAGTTATTTATAAGATCTTACTATAATTGTTAGCTGCTTTACAATTTAGAAAGTACAATAGGTAATGTAAATTAAAATTAATTGAATACTTAACAACGTTTTGTTCGATTAAATTCATTTAATTATTAAAATAGTTAATTTAAAATTAGAATAAAGACAAAAAAAAAAAAACAAAAAAAAATCGGTGGCGGGAATCGAACCTTGAGCGTCCGTTTGGTAAGTTGATTTAAAATTCAAAGGCTTATTTCTTCGAAATTACTGGTCATTTTGAAATAATACTTAGGGTTCGCATACCCTTATCGGATACTACTACTACACGGAGTTTCGTCAAAATAAAATATCTAGGTTAGGTATAATAAATTCATAATTAATAGACCGTTACGGTATCTGTATATATTCGGATCAAAACAAGTACTATGAAATAAGAACGAGTATATAAATTGATTAACACAAGTAATTGATTTTTGAAATATATTCAGAGCCAAAAAGTCTTGTTTCTTTATTTATGTACTTGTTAGATGCGACAGCGACTTTGTTTTATACTATACTATGTAATGATTGATATACCTAAAATAAATAAAATATCTGAGGTTTGGACAAAAACTCAAAGGGTAATTTATTTTGAAAAAGTATTTTGAAAATACCTATTTTGCTTTTAGTGTTATAGTACTTTAACTGTTATGTTTTAAGTAACAATGTTTAATTATAATTAATACTACTGCACCAACACTCCGATCGTGCAAAAAAATTTGCTGTTTCATTATTTTTTAGTTCAATTAGTGGTCTACCTAAGTCCTGGGCTAAGCAGGGGGAGAGTCATGACGCCCCCATGACTCCCATGACCTCCATGACGCTCCCCCCTGGATCCGCCGTTGCGTCTTCTCTTTATTCGCTCAGTAACTTTGTTACAAAAGAAAAGATTCCCGTCCAAAAAATAATAAGTATTGAGGTTTGATCTGGAGTCACGTTACTCCAGACTGATTTCTATAAATATTTAGATTGGATAGACTATTATTCTTGAAATACTAGCTAGACATTATTAAGTTACTGTAGCCATAATGTAGTAGCCCAAACGTGCCAATGAGGAAGCCCTTGGCAAATGCTGCACCCTGATTGGCCCGTTTGAATTGGATCAAGAACTGCTCGTATGCCAAAAAGGTGGATTTGTATAAAATCGTGTATAAATCGCTTAATTATTATTATTACTCGTCGTGACAGTTGTGGCTCAAAACGGATCAACATTTATATATGGTCAGCTGGCATTAGATCAACAAAAGGCCTCCGGATCAACAAGTGAAAATGGATCAACAAAAAACTACCTATACGGCACGTCTGAGCCACAAAGTGCCCAAGGGGATATTTATATATATATATATATATATATATATACCATGTACACGAAGATACAAAAACTAAATATTCAAGAATATGTGAATATACAACTGTGCTATGCAGAAATCATACCCGATGTAAATAGTATTTGTGTTATTTAGATTCCTCAGACTTGGCTTTATGTTAATCATGTAATAAATACAGTTAACTTACCAAAGTTACTGTCCCCTGTGACATCATAACGATCTCCATCGACGTAGGCCCGTGCCCCGGGGCCGTTTGTGTATGAGATGGTCATGTATGGTACACCATCGTCACCCCGTGAATTGGAGCGGCCGAGAATACTGCTCCCACGAGGTGTGTAGCCGTTAATGGCCATGACGTGAGAGTGGTCAGAGGTCACCACCACGAGAGAGTCCTCCTCGGGCAGCAGCTCGGTGGCGCGCTGCACCGCCGCGTGCAGGTGGATGGTCTCGTCGAGCGCCAGGTGCGCGTAGTTGCTGTGGTGGCCGTGGTCGATGCGCCCGCTCTCCACGAACAAAAAGAAACCATTCTCGTTACGACTAAGAGATCGTATTGCGATTTCAGTGAGCTCGGTGAGCGTCGGCTCCGTAGTCGTATCTGCCTCTAAGTGGTATTCCATGTGGGAGCCTTCGAACAGCCCCAAAAGATATTCCGGAAGTGATTCTGAAATATTCAATAGTTGTTCTCTGTTCCATACGTAGTTGTAGCTAACATTTTGTGATGCCCTAACTTCTTGCCATTCGTCGATGAGATTTCGCCCGTCCGTTCTTCTGCCTCTGGTATTTTCTTCGTCACGAGTAGTATTTGGCAGAAATTCACGTCTTCCACCTCCCAAAATTACCTGTTCAAATGACAACACTGCAATAGTTATATTATAAAGCGTCGATACAAATTATTATAATTACATTTAACGTTCTTTATAATTACAGGGTTGTTGCCAATTCATTTACATTTTCATATAAATATATACATATATAAACTTTCTTTTAATTAGAAATAATGGACTGAACTATTATATACCTTAAATTGATTTCCAGGATACATGTGTACGAGCTGGTGTGCAATGTCGCGACACACTAACGGATCCTGTCCATTTTCCACGACGCTATTGTCATTCTCCCAATTTCTATCGGCCACCTTGGCGTACGCGCCGGCCGGGGACGCGTGCGTGATACGAGCCGTCGACACTATGCCTGCATATGCAAACGTTACACGGTCAATTGTTGTGGCTCACGTACACAGGTTCATTAAAGAGGAACTACATTATTATAGCTAGTATTTTAGGGGGGAAAGCGGATTGCTAGTAATGTTAACTGACGATCTTATTGCTAGCAATCTACCATGTCAGGTTGACCTTCACGTGATTCGCCTTGGAAATCATTGTGGTAAATTCTTGGTGAATTTATCACGGTGAGCTAACTGACCTGGCCGCATCCTCACCTTATCATCCTCCACTGGTGCCCCGCCAGCGTAAACGGTTAGCACAGGGGGGTGTACCATTCCATTATCATCATTCATCACAATGCAAATCCACGTACCGACGTCGCGGCCGTCCTGCAGCGCCCACTCTGCGATGGAGGCGACCTGGTTGGCCTCCTCGAGCGACGCGGCGCAGTCCCGCCGCCGGACCGCCGCTGAAACTCCGATGGTGCCGTAGTTGTTCTTCACGCCGCACAAGTACGCGGTGGCCGTGCACGCGGAGTCCGCTATTTGATGGTCCACACAATACGTCTGCAACGTTGTTCGTGATTGTAATAAATATTTATTTATGTCGCAGCTTGCTGCTTCGACCCCAGGGTTATTTTTGTATGTAATTACGGCAGCCACATTTACCTAACATTATCTATGTTATTCGATCTTATTCAATTGAAGAACAAAACTCATTCACTGTTTGTTTAATAAATAGTTTTATTGATTACAGATTTTTTAATAATCCAATTATTTGGATCCAACTGGTATTATTTTCTAAAATACTGTAATTAATAATAGTTTAGAAATTGCAGTTTTTTTTTAATACATTGCCAATGTTTGTTAACCTATTTAGTCATTTAAATAACAGATATTATCACGCAGTTATAGAAATTATACAATTTATATAATTGTATCTTAATTTATATTTTAATTATGTACTATGCTAATCATGTAGTTTTACTCAGTATTTCATAATATCATTTAACAGAACAGTTTTAAAATCATACTAGCTCTAATAAACATTAGATAGACAAAATAATGCCTCACATTATTAATCTTTAATTTTTTTTATTTAAAATAATCACGTTGAATTGTAGACAATTTTATTTTACTAAATAAACCTGAATATTACATAATAATAACCCTTAAACTTGAATACCTTTAAAAGTGCGGAAGTAATTTTATAATTGTGATTATATTCACCACAATATCGTGTTGATGCATTGCTTAATGATAGATGCATTATAGTCATTAAAGTGCATTGTATTATACTATAGGTAGGATTGTACCCGTATTGTACAATACACTGAACTTACAAAATCCTCACTCTTTCTAATATTAATAGCGTAGTTGTAATGTACCTTTGATAGGCCAACAGATGGGAACTCCTCGAAGGACAAGTGCGATTCCTCGCCCGTATGTCCGGCTCTCTGTCCGAGCAGCGTGCGCGCGGCGGCCAGCGTGGGCACGGACATGCCGTCGCCCAGGAACATGACCACGTTGCGCGCCTTGGCCTCGATGTTCTTTTGTCGTAGACGGGACTTGAGTCCAGCCTGAGCCTCCTCCACCCAGTACTTGGCAGAGAGCTCTTCCGCATTTCTGGCGGTCATTTGGAGCGGTGACAGAGGTGGTAGGTCCGGATGCTGCGTGCCGGCGGCCAGCGCCACCACCGTCACCATTCCGAGCAATCCCAACGGTGAGAACAGCATCGTGACAACACGCGATTGCACAGTAACTACTGTCTTACAGTTACCGTCAGTCTTTTATTCTCTGCACTATCTCCTCCATCTAATCATAATTAAAGTAATCACAGTGTTTCAACTAGATAATAAACAGATACCGTCTAACACCATGACTTATTAATTATACTTATTACAGTATATGCAACACAACACATCAGCGCAAAAACAGGAAAAAAGCCGCTTGGACTGCGTGGTGCTAATATTCATCGCGGTTACCAGTGGCAGCACCTGAAGGGTCAATGTTCAGTACCGTTTTTGATGACACGAAGATACATGCTGACTGATGGAGGAGAATCCAATAGTGACGTGCATGCATCAGACGAATTATGAAATCATATACCCAAGGCTGTGTATAAGGATTGATCTAATACAAGTCTCGTTCGTATACACATGTGGATGGCCCCATATAAACATTGATAGAGAGGTTCATAGAAAAATTAATAACAATAGCAAAGTCAACATTGAAATTAGTCTTACAATAAGAGCAATCCTATGTGCACACGTATTAAAAAAACATCGCCAAATTGTTTAGTGCTAACCTGTTCTATTCTAAATTGCAGTCGTGTGTGACGAACTTGTGGACGACGAGCTCCATCCATACGTTCCCGCAGCAGAATGTCTCTTATTAATACCTCTATATTTCTGTTAAATTTGTTCATATGTATATATACATCGATGTACTTGCTCAATATTTAGAAACTATTTTTTTTTAAATAAAGTATAAAATAAATATTACTGGCGTTGTTTTTTTCAATTTAATGAAACAGTAAAAACGGCAGTTTTTAAGTCAGGAGAAAAAAAAACTAACTACTTATGGGCTCTATCTTACTAGAACTGAGTAGTAATTGAAAAAAATATGCTCAATAGTATACTGCAACACTTTAAAGTAAATAGAGCTCTATTTGCCAGCTCTGAATGATTCATTGACTATGAAACATCACAGTCGATCATTTGGTTTACCAGCGCGGCGCACAGTGGGAACTCGCCTAAGAAAGCCATCTCATAAATACTTTTTCTAAAACTCCGTGGATATGCTTGTATAATACCTCAAATTGTAGCCAAAGAGTTACTCTATCATTATAAATATGATTCAAATCTCTGACTATTCATACTTCATAGAATGGAGCCTCTAAAGTCAAGGAATGAAAAAAATACAAAAATAATTTTGTAACTTAAATTTGTTTGGTATAAATTTATAGTATCAAAACAATATCAAGTCATATAGTGTGATACCATTTTAGAATGCTTAGAATGTGTACTTTACTATAAAATGAAAATATATTTATTTTAGTTGAATATTATTTAACTAAAAATCCATATATCGTTATATGTACTATTTTCTTTTCTCAGACTTTCACTTGGAGATTTGACAGTTGCCGAAGCTTGCCGAAGTTCTAAATTTGGTTTTATTTATTAGGAAATATAATGTAATTTGATGGCATAACATTTTTTTTTGCAGTTTCACTGCGTAAAATATTTAAATCGAGTATAATATCATGGTGAGGTTTGTTTTTTCTAAGTACGTATATTAAGATTTTCTTCTTTATTTGAGATTTTCTGTCTGAATACTTAAAAAAATACTTTTTGGACAATTATTACTATATATTTTATCTTTTGCCTTAATTTTATCAACTATTTCACACAGTATATAGTTCCCATTCCCATACAGACCTATTCTATACCGCATAATGTTAAATATTTTTTATCAAGTAATTTTGCACACGTATATGATCATTATTAAGTATAAAATAGTGTATGTATTTGCATATGAAATATTACAGTTCTTCATAAACTTTTCGTCAACGCTATTCGAAATGTGGTCGAAAGAAAGAGTTTTTAAATAAAATAGCAATTTATAGGATGGTATTTTCACTGTAAATCTAGAAAAAAGTACATGCGAACCTGAACCTCCTACTTCGACAGAAAAAAGAGGAAGACCTTCTAAAAGGTACGAAGTTCGGACAAAGAAACGAAAAAACAAGGCTTGCTTGATACTTGTGGACTTCATACTGAACTCATATGTACAGGGTTTAAGGGTTTCATCATTGATATTTTACGAGCATTGCCACCAGAAAACTAGAATGAATTGAGCAATCTTAATGAATAATCTTATTAATGAACCGGCATATATAACAGCATATTCAAAACATTAAGCTTTTAGCATTTTTATAAAATTGGATCTGAACAAGGCACAGTACGAAAATATGAGGAGTTGTTTGATAGCAAAGAATTACTTATTGTTTCCATCATACAGGTTGATTCGTGAAGCTAAAGAATCGTGCTATCCGCCAAAATTATGTACAGAAATTACTAACGTTAAAGCAGAAATCAAATGTATGTACCATTTGCAGTGCAAAACCCACAGAGATGAACAATTTAGAAAAACTACAAAATAAACCTGTCGATGAAACTTCCTATCAATATGGCCTTTCAACTTTGCATTCGTGGAACTTATTTTACATTTATCTTACAATTAAAATACAAATCAATAAAAATGGTCTGCCACAACAACAGAAAATAAAAATTTAAAAAAGCAAAAGAAGGCTTATGTACAAAGAAGGTTCAGAGAAGAACTTGGATTAAATATAGATAAACCGAAGCAAGTTAGTGGCAACACTAATGACGGCAATACAGCCACAAGATTTTTCCAATATTATCGTTGTGCATCAGAAATTACTAGTATATATGAGGAATTAATAAAACTGTTTTATGTTATGAAATGAAATGTGAACGTGTGACACGTCATTTTCTGTCTTGCCTCTCGGGCAACTTTCAGTAGATGAAGAGTCACGGAACAAAGACTATAAACAGTTCAGGCTTCATCATGCAAGACAATGTTCGAGGGTAGCCTCTAACAAAGATGTTCTACACGCATTTTTATATACCTCTGACCCATACATAACAAGTTTAAGAAAACCTTCCAATTAAAAATATTTAGTTCTTTTTGATGAAGAAAAGGAGGTCTTGAGTGACTTGTAAGCTATCTTTATAAGAATTTTGGTTTTTTACTCTGATACTTTTACTTATTTCTGTATAAACTTCTTAGGACATAAATGTAAGTCTACAAATTCTATATTTCTTGTATTCCTAAATTATTTATAACTATTAGAAATATTTTTTTACTCACAAAGCATACATTATTTAAAAGTATATATATTTAAGATTATCAGGAAAAAAAATCATGTACATATCTTTATTAATACAGAAGTTATAGATTTATGAGATGAAAATGAGTCAAAGTTCCCACGGCGCGGCGGCGGGTAATTCAGTAGTAGCTCTAATGAACCATATATGATTCTTGGGAGAAAATACTACCAGTGTATTCGGTGACCTCTCCAAAGCATTTGATTACGTTGATCATGAAGCACAATGTTTGTGGGAGCCAAACTAGAACGTTATAATAATAATTATTATTGTTATTTATTTGCTTACTACATGGTACACATAATATACATACATAACTAGTTAAAGTGCGTGACATGCAGCACTCCCAAGGTGTATACAAACATTGAAATTAAATAATTTAATATAATATTATGTCGTTACATTTATAAATGTCATTGATATTAATTAATTAATATCAGCTTATTAATAACAATTTATATAATGCTCAATGAAAGATTATTATTTGCAAATAAAATAATCTTTCATTGAGCATTTGACAGCCTCGGTGTTCTAGTGGTTTAGCACACCGCTTTACTATCCGATGGTCGTGGGTTCGATTCCTCGCACGGCACAAACATTTGTATTCATGAGTATGATTGTTTGTATCGGTCTGGGTGTTTTCTATGTATATTATATATTTATTTACAAAAAAATGTGTCCATGTATTTATATCAGTTGTTTAGTACCCATAACACAAGCTCTGCTTAGCTTGGGACTAGATGGCGCTGTGTGAATTGTCCTGAGATATTATTATTATTATCAGCCATTTCATTAATTTGTCTTCGAACCATTTCAAACAGAGATTTGTAACTTTAGTAAGTAATTTATGCAGTATGTGTAACTGTTACTGTGCTACAAAAATGTTCTCATTTTTGGTAACACAAGTTTTCCAGGATATAGAAGTCCCTTCTATATAAACAAATATAAATGCATTATAACAGAAAGGCAGCAATCAAATATGTACATTTTAAGGACTGTGAGTAGTTTTGATTGGCGAAACAGTCGGACGCTTACCACTAATTGCTCGGCCACGCTACATACTTCTGCGATACAAATGCTCTGTTAATATCTACCGGGTAACTCCATATCAATATGCCGTATTTAAAGTTTGAAGCTACATGTCTTTGGTCTAATAATTTTTGATAATCTCCAGCGATCATAAACAAACCTATCTAGTTTGTTGCTTATTTCTTCACATGCTGTTTTCATGAATATTGACTACCAGCTGTAAGATCGAGAAAACGAATTTCATTTACTAATAACCTGTAGATTACTTGTTAATTTTTGTAATTGATTGCTGATATTTCGGTTAAAAAATCTTATATACTTCGTTTATTCAACATTAATGTTTAAATTATTTATATTTAACCAAATTATAATATTAGCAATAGAAACATATTGATGTCAATATTGAAATCGATCTCTAAAGTCCCTTATATTACTATTGAGTAATAGTCTACAAACAAAGTACATCGGTGTTCTGTTATACTTTATAGGTCAATGATGTATAGGATAAATAATAATGGACCCAATATCGTCCCCTGTGGAACTCTCCTACTATTAATAGATATTTCAGATTTATAAGACATTTCTTCAAAATCATCCGTGATGAAAGTTTGTATTGAAAATCTGCTTTGTGTTTTTTTTTTTTTTTGGTTGGATTATACAATATTTTTTCTTTATTTGATCAAGCTTGCTATAACACGCGGACGAAATCGTGGGCACATCTACTAGTATGATATAAACAGAAATGCAAAGCATATGTGTGCATCATGCTGCATGAGCATCGTCATTGTCGTGTCATGACGTGTGATGTAATGAATATCATTCTGTTCTATTAGTGTCTTGTTTTATGCTCTCCAAAGTAGGGCAGTGCAATGAGCAGGATATTGTCGACTACAGACCAATAGTTCGGGTCTCCACTGTAACTCATCAGTGTCACAGACAGGATATACACGTATTTATATTATTACTAACGTACATATATTATTATTTTATATGTGTGTAAGGTAGGTATTTATAATATAGGTCATTGTTAGCCTGAAATAAATAAACAAATAAAAGACTAATAAATGTAAAATTGTATATTTACAGATTATTTACAAAAAATAAATTGTTATTTATTTACCTATATAATACAAGAAGTTTGTGAACCTAATAATAATTACGATGCACCTTATTATATAATATACTCGCATGTAGTCGTCAGTTTATGACTGTTATTTAAGACTGTTCCTTGAGCTATATGCTCACAGCCTAGTAAGGATACTATACAGGCGTATAGAAAATTCTAACTGCAGCTAAAGCAGATGAAACCATCGATGAGATCATATTACAACTACTATCTGTTTAACAGTTTACTCGAATATTACAAACCAATGAAATACCTTTTAAAAAAAACTTTTTTTTTTAAGCAGTAAACGATATAGTAATTAGTCATATATTATATTTTTGAAGACGTCATCGCCGTCGAAATAGTGTATTCAGTAAGTATAAAGAGAATATTAAAAATATTGAGCTTCGCATAGTAGAGGTAGCGTTGCAGTAGTGCAGGCCGGGCCCGATGCAGGCCGCGTAGCCCATGAGGTGCGGGATGCGGCTCTGCTCGTAGAGCCCCGTGAACAGCGCGTGGTGCGGCCCGCGCGCGAACACCGCCACGTCGTCCCCGCCGTGCGTCTCGTCCTCCAGCGGCACCTCCGCGTGGGTCATCCACGCGTTGCTCCCTACGGTACGACACGAAATATTCACTGTACATCCGGTACCAATAAAATACATCTTTAAATATATATACCCAACAGTAATTTTTATAGTGATAGTTTTGTTTTTTAATTACTAATTCTAGTTTCGAATAATATACTAAGCGTGCATGAAAATAGTTAACTATGTGGTACAAACGTAATACATCCTTAAGTGTCCGCGTACCCAGCCTCCGAGATACATGAATACCTACAATAGTTTGGACACATTGATAACACGAATCAAATTCCAAAGTAAATAATTAATGTAAATTTATATGTATGTAATAAGTATATATATATGTATGTAGGACCACTGAAATTAAGACGATATTATAAATTGACTGACAACGTAACTACAGAATTCTACGAATTACAGAATTAACAACATAATAAATAAAATTAACTGAAATTATTAACACGATAAAGTAATACCGAATAATTACCGAAATCATCATCAGCAGTGACGTCCACTCGGGATCCGTTGACATGGCCGCGGGCGCCGGGTCCGTTGGTATATGAAATGGTCATGTAGGGTATGCCATCGTCCCCCACTTCGTTAGAGCGTCCAAGAATACTACTACCGCGTGGTGTATATCCATTGATAGCCATAACGTGCGAATGGTCAGCGGTCACCACTATCAAAGAGTCTTCCTCCGATAGCAGTTCGGTGGCGCGCTGCACGGCCAAGTGCAAGTGAATCGTCTCGTCGAGCGCCTTATGCACCAAATTGTCATGATGTCCGTGATCGATGCGTCCACTTTCCACAAATAAGAAAAAGCCGTTTTCATTACGACTGAGAGATCGGATAGCAATTTCCGTGAGCTCAGTGAGGGTGGGCTCCGTCTCATTGTTTGCGTCTAAATGATATTTCATGTGGTTGCCTTCGAAGAGCCCCAAAAGGTATTCTGGTGGTGATTGCGATACATTCATCAATTGTTCCCTATTCCACACATATTTGTAGGTAACGTTCTGCGAGGCTTTATTAGCTTCCCATTCTTCGATTAGATTGAGGCCGTCTGTTCTATCGCCTTGAGTGCCTTCTTCATCGTACATTGTATGTGGCAAGAATTTTTTTCTTCCACCTCCTAAAATAACCTGTAATATATATAATAATAATTAAAGAATTTAAACAAAGATTTTTTCATTTTTTTTTTATTTACACCAGAATTGTAGAATTTTCTACGATTCAATATCCGGACCTAGTTTCAACAGGATGTCGCAACTGCCCGTCGTCGGTAAACCTTTCCATAACAAAGTGATATCTCGAAGAGGAGACATCCCCTGGCCATCACGAAGTCTGAATCCAATGGACTTTTACTTATGGGGATACCTTAAGGCTAAGGTCTACGAAATAAACCCGCGGCCAATTGAGGAACTTAAAGAATATATCCGAGGTCACATCGTTTACAATATTTATAAATAGAATATACATATATAGATAAATTCACTATCTGGGCCAAAGAAGATCTTTAAAGTCAGTTAAGTTTCAAGCCAAGAGTAGACTCGCAGTAAGTTGTAAACTATCAACCGAACCTACACTTATTATTATTAAATAGAATGTTGTGTTAAATATACATTTATTTACCTTAAACCGATTAGCAGGATATGAATGCACGAGTTGGTGCGCAATGTCCCGACACAATGTCGGGTCCCGGTCTTCGTCTAGCACATCATAGTCACTTTCCCAATTTCGGTTGGCTATTTTAGCAAATGCACCGGCGGGAGACGCGTGCGTGATACGCGTCGTGGTCACGATACCTGCATCCCACACAGATTCACATAAATAGCATTACAGACAGGATAGTGTACATTATTATGGAATAAAACAGTAGAGATGTAAGAGGACGTACCGACGTCGCGGTCGTCCTGCAGCGCCCACTCTGCGATGGAGGCGACCTGGTTGGCCTTCACCAGCGACGCGGCGCAGTCCCGGCGCGGGACCGCCGCCGTCACGCCGATGGTGCCGTAGTTGTTCTTCACGCCGCACAAGTACGCGGTGGCCGTGCACGCGGAGTCCGCTATTTGATGGTTCACACAATACGTCTGCGATACAATGACATTCATCTTCGTTAGATTATTTCGTCTCGGTTTCCGCAATTATAAATTATTGTTACAAGACGTTACGTTACGTGTTACGTTGTTACGTGGGTTTGTAACCCAAGTTAGGTAAATACTAAAAAATAAATAGTATTTCTGTAAAACAATTTACAAAGCCTCACAGATTTTTACATTAGTTTTCACTGAAGTAGAAATAAACTGTATCAGTTTACCTTGGCTAATCCCACAGTGGGGAAGTCTTCGAAAGACAACTGTGACTCCTCGCCGGTGCGGCCCTGGTTCTGTCCGAGCAGCGTGCGCGCGGCGGCCAGCGTGGGCACGGACATGCCGTCGCCCAGGAACATGACCACGTTGCGCGCCTTGCCCTGGCTCGTGTCGTGTCGCAGGCGCGCCTTGAGGCCGGCCTGCGCCTCGTCCACCCAGAACTGGGCGGTGCGCTCGGCGGGGTCGATGGCCGCCGCGGCGCGCGCCGACAGCGGCGGCAGCTCCGGGTGGCGGCCTCGGGCCAGCGCCGCGCCCGCGCACCACCACCACAGCGCCACCGCGTTCACCGACCACCACGTCTGCCGGGACATATGCATGCTGACTGGCGCGTACTGAATACTACTGTGCGCCGCGTCGGTACTATAATGGTTTTATTCCCGCGACTATTATCTAATCGCAAGTAATTATTAATAATATGAATAATTATTATGATAAGTAATTTAGGATTAAATGACGTGTGATAACAATCGTGGGATTACGACATTCCAAGTACAACGTGAAACGAACTGATATAATAATTAAAACAAATGAATGCAATCATACAAAGTCTAAATAATAAAATCCCCGTAGCTATGATACTATTATATATGAGTAAAATGTAATATTAATAATAGTTAGCCGGTTTTGCTATAGAAATTTATCAGGCTTTAACACATTTCATTTTCTATCACACAAAATCTTGCTATATCTAAATTATATAATTATGGAACGAGAGGTAAAATACAGGAGTGGTTGACAAGTTATCAACCAAACAAGCAACAAAGTAAAGTAACCAACAAATCAGAATATAAAACATGTAATGAGTATTTTAGGACCCCTTTATTTTCTATCTCCTATTTCTCCTGAAGCAATGAATTAGGAAATTGTTGTATAACAATAATTGTGTGTGTCTTTTATTGTCACCCTCAATATAACTTTTTATCAAAAAAGTCAAATATGTAGGGTACTCAAATATAATCATTCCATGTAAGCCTCAATACAAGTATACACATTAAAAACATGTTTCTAAAATATAAATGTGTTTTAATCCATAATATTGGCGACGAGTGATAAATTTATAGTGATAATAAATGTACAAACATGCAAGCAATTAAATTCCACGAGTACCGACCCGGGAATGAAGATTTTAGCCACTACATAGATAGGCTAAATTATTGTTTTGTGGCAAATGGAATTTGCGACGATAATGTGAAACTTGCTAATTTCTATACAATTTGTGGCTCTGAGGTGTTTGAAACGGTGCTAGCTTTGATAATACCAAGAAAATCACATGAAGTCAGTTTTAACTATGTGGTTGATTTATTGACAAAACATTATACACCTAAATCTAATGAAATCACCATGTCCTACAAATTTTACAACCGCAACCAAAGGGAAGGCGAAAATGCGCTCGATTACTTAACAGAATTGAGGAAAATAGCTGCACATTGTAACTTTAGTAATTTGGAACGAAATCTTCGTGATCGTTTAGTATGTGGCATGCAAGATGAGAAATTGAAATTTGAGTTACTGAAACGAGACAACTTAACATACAAGGAAGTGGTGGATTGTCTAACAGCAGCAGAAACAGCACATCGTGACGTCACAATGATGCGTGCAGTACATCCAGTTCAACATTTGAACCAATGGATATTGGTGCCATACGTGACAAAAATACCACCAATAATAGATACAGATTCTGTTATCGATGTGGTGATAAACATAGTGGTACATGTCGACATGTGAACTCTAAATGCAAATTTTGTCAAAAAATTGGGCATTTAGAGAAAATTTGTACACAGAAACGTAAAAATCAGAATATCCGTTACACAACTGAGGAAGATTCGAATATTCAGAATAATGATTCGCTCAACGGTATATATTGTGTGAATAATATAAATAATCTACAGAGAATACCGCCTATACAGGTTGATGTTTTATTGAATGGTTGCGAGACAAAAATGGAAATAGATTCGGGGGCATCATATTCAATAATAAATGTAAATACATTTGAAGAATTGCCTAAATACTTAAGGAATAAGTTACAACCAATGATTCTACGGTTATCAACATGGACAAATACATCACTGCACTTACTAGGACAATTAGATGTTGATGTGACATATAATTATAAGCAATGTCCATTAACAGTTATTGTTGCTAAAGGAAAAGGCCCTAATTTGTTGGGTCGGAACTGGTTTCAACCTCTAAATATTTCTATAAATAATATAAATTTAATAGAGCCCTATTAAATTTATATTATTTATAGAAATATTTATAGACTATATGCCCTCATGGCATACAGTGTGAAGACTTACTAAATAAATATAAAAATATTTTTTCACATGGCTTAGGTACCTACAAAGGAGAGCCTGTAGCAATACATTTAGTCCCAGGAGCTGTCCCTAAATTTATAAAGGCGAGACCAGTACCATATGCTCTGAAAGATCGCGTAGAACAAGAGATAGACAATTTGGTCAAAGACGGTGTGTTGAAACCCATACCGTATTCAGAATGGGCAACTCCCGTAGTACCCATTGTATAAAAAGATGGCAGCATTAGATTGTGTGGTGATTACCGAAGCACAGTGAATCAAGCTACAGAATCGGATACATACCCAATGCCGACTGCTAATGAAATTTTTGCGCTCCTGGCAGGAGGACGATTGTTTACAACTTTGGACCTGGATCGAGCGTACACACAGGTGCCAGTTGATGAACAGACATCAAAACTAATGACATTAAATACAACCAAAGGTCTGTTTTCAGTACATAGACTAGCATTTGGTGTTAAAGCCAGCCCAGGTATTTTCCAGCGAGCAATGACAGCATTACTTGCAGATGTCCCAGGAGTTGCTGTTCTGCTTGATGACATTATTATTACTGGTCATACACTAGATGAAATGAAAACACGACTGAATATTGTTCTGCAACGTTTAACAAACAAGGGACTAAAGCTTAAGCAAAACAAGTGTAAGTTTGGAAAGACGCAAGTTGAATTCTTGGGATTTCTAATAGATGCCGAGGGTATACACCCTGCAAAAAGTAAAATTAATGCAATAATAAACACGCCACCTCCAAGGAATGTTCAGCAACTTCAAGCATTCCTTGGATTATATAATTTTTATGAACGCTTTGTACCTCACAAAGCAACAGTTTTGGAGCCACTACATAGATTGTTGGACCAAAAGCAGGATTGGAAATGGAGTAAAGAGGAACAACAATCTTTTAATACCGCAAAAAGTTTACTTGCAAATGATGTCTGTCTTACACACTATGACACAAAGAAGAAACTGATTTTAACTTGTGATTCATCAGACTATGGGGTAGGAGCCGTTCTGGCACATATTATGGCTAATGGTGATGAGAAACCAATAGCTATGGGATCAAGAACACTACACCCACATGAAAGACGATATTCTCAATTAGATAAAGAGGCCACAGCAATTCTGTTTGGGATTAAAAAATTCAACAATTATTTGATGGGTCGTCGATTTACAATTATAACGGACCATAAACCGCTTCTGGGAATATTTGGGACTAAGAAGAAGATACCAGATATTCTTTCACCACGATTGACTCGTATATGTTTGACCTTAGCAGCACATGATTATGAAATTGAATATAAACGTGGTAAGGAAATTAGTAATGCTGATGGACTTAGCCGCTGGCCAATGCCAGTATTATCTCAAGATATTGATACTCCAGGGGAGGTTCTCTTAATAGCAGAAACACCACATGACTTGCCATTTGGTCCAAAAGACATTGAAAGAGCAACTTCTGGAGATCCAACTCTCCATAGAGTAAAATGGTTCATTTTAAAAGGGTGGCCAGCCCGAATTACAGATAAAGAGTTACATACATATTGGTTACATCGCTTGGAGTTGAGTATACAAGATGGCTGTATTTTATTGGGAAGTCGTGTGGTATTACCAAATAAACTTAGAGAGGACATGTTAAAACTATTACACCAAACTCATAATGGTATAGTACATACTAAAGCTCTGGCTAGGAGTTATGTATGGTGGCCACAAATGGACAGAGATATAGAGAAGATGATCAGCAACTGCCATTCCTGTTTAGAAAATAGAAATATGCCAACAAGATCATCACATGAATGGATTATGCCTGCTAGACCGTGGTCCCGTATTCATGTTGATTTTGCAGGACCTTTTCAAAATAAAATATTTTTGATAGTAGTAGACTCATATTCAAAATGGCCTGAGGTTCACATTGTAAATTCTATGGCATCTAGCATTGTTATCAAACATTTACGATATATTTTTGCGCAACACGGGCTTTGTGAAACATTGGTATCAGATAATGGTACATCTTTCGTGTCAAAGGATTTTGAGGACTTTTTAGTGGCTAACAAAATAAAACACATTAGGACAGCACCATATCATCCCGCCACCAACGGGCAGGCCGAGAGAATGGTTCAAACTTTAAAAAATAAACTAAAAAAGATGACAGATGTACCTTGGGAAGTAAAATTACCAAGAATTTTGCTGACATTGCGTAGTACGCCTTGCACATCAACTAAGAGAAGTCCAGCCGAATTATTGATGAATAGACAGCTGCGGACTTTATTAGACACTGTTCACCCAAATATCAATCATTACAGAAAGACAGAAAATCAGATTATAGATAATGCAAATAGGAAGAATCGTGAAACTCAAGTTGGAAAGAAAGTAATGTACAGGAACTATGCTGAAGGTGAAAAGTGGAAATCTGGAACAATAATAGGGAAGGAGGGTCCTTCTAGCTATAGAATAGAAACAGAAAATGGAGAGTGTATGCATAGACACATAGATCAATTGGTAACACTTAAGGACACAGAGACAGAAGAGTTAAGAACACAGGGGACAGAAAGTGAAATACAAGAACAGGTAGCAGAAGTGGAGCAGGAATTGACAAATGAAAACTTAGGTGAAGATCAGACATGGGAAACAGTGCAGGAGCAAGATATAATTGAGATACCCAGTTGTGACCAATGGGCGGACATGCTGGGAATACCATCAACATCAAATGTGGGAAAGATTAGAAACAAACCCAAAGGACATTCTAAACTCCCTTATGATAGATTGTAAATAGGATAACCATACATTGTTGATTTTTTTCAAGAGTTTGTTAATATTAGTGTTAAGCTTGAGGGAAAGGTATGTTGTATAACAATAATTGTGTGTGTCTTTTATTGTCACCCTCAATATAACTTTTTATCAAAAAAGTCAAATATGTAGGGTACTCAAATATAATCATTCCATTTAAGCCTCAATACAAGTATACACATTAAAAACATGTTTCTAAAATATAAATGTGTTTTAATCCATAATAGAAACTATTGTCTACAATTATTGTAAAAAGTGAACATACATCAACATTTCAGTATTACATAATAAAAACATTAGAAAGGGCTGTAAAATTGGCTTGAGGCTAATAATGTAACTAAATATAAATAAGACAGAATTAATAAAATATCTGAAGGAATTATTTCACTAAAACAACCTTCAAAACTCAAACGCACAATTTTTATTCTCAACAAACTTTTTATTCCACTAATTTTAACAACTCTCTAATACTACAGATTACAGACCACAGACTAATTACATTTTTAGATTGTAATATATTTGTGTTTTTTTTTTTTAATCAACTTCAACATTCTCCGCCGCCAAGGATATGTACGTATCGTACCATATCCTTGTACGTATCATTCTCAGTTGAAATCAGGAAGTCTACAAAGTTTAGACACCGAACGTTGCATAACACCTGTGGCTGTACGAACATCGTAAACTCTAGCTAGGCCATCGGAACTCGGATACTTCTTTTGTATTCGACCAAGGCGCCAACTGGCTGGAGACGCTCTTGAGTCTTTTATTAAGACCATATCTCCAATCTCGAAATCTTTTTGAACCCTCATCCATTTAGGACGTTGCTGTAATCGAGACAAATATTCAGTTTGCCATCTTGACCAAAAATCACGCACTATTTTCTGTGTCAATTGCCATCTCGTTAAATTGGATACATTTACCTTTTCATAGTTTCTGTCTGGTAAAGTTATAGTAGGCTCTCCAACAAGAAAATGTCCGGGCGTCAGATACTCGTAATCATCATTAAGTGCTGTTAGTGGACGCGAATTAAGACAAGCCTCTACTTGAGTCAAGACTGTGTATAACTCCTCAAAAGTAAGCGTAGTATCTCCTAGTATACGCTTAAGGTGATACTTCACAGATTTCACCCCGGCTTCCCATAAGCCTCCAAAGTTAGGAGCGCCAGGTGGTATATATTTCCAAACAGTGCCTCTATCATCCAACAAAATTCTCAATTCTTCAGGAAGTTCGTTTTTACCCTGTTTCCACATCTCAAATAGGGTTTTCTCTGCTGATATAAATGTAGTTCCGTGATCACTCCACAGCTCATAACATCGACCTCTTCGTGCGACGAATCTTTTAAATGACGAAATAAATGCTTCTGTTGTCATGTCACTGACTAACTCAAGTTGTATGGCTTTTGTTGCCATGCAAATAAATAGGCATATATATGATTTATATGCTTTAGCTCCTCGTCCTTTGCTCATTCGACATAGTATAGGACCAGCATAATCGACTCCACTTATTGAAAATGAGCGAGATGGATTCACTCTAACGTCAGGTAAGTTTCCCATTAATTGATTACTAGTAGTAGCATTGTATATAGCACATTTTTTGCACTGTCTATAAAATCTCTTTATTCTTTGACCGCCATTTATAATCCAATAATTATTTTGCAGGTATGAAGTCATTAATCGAGGACCTCCATGCAGCGTCTCTTTGTGTGTATCATCCAACAGAAGTGGTATAAGTGGATTATCTCTGGTAAGTATGACAGGATGTTTTCTTTCATATTTCAGCTCTGCATGCTTTAAACGGCCACCAACTCTCAGAACATTCTCATCAAGGTAAGGACATAATGGTAATAATCGACTACATCTTTTAATAATTTTCTTCTTTTTCAGGGTTTCTATTTCATCTGTAAAGTCTATTTGCTGAGCTATTTTAACACAAACGGTAAGTGCCTTATCTCTTTCTTCACAATCTATGCTTTTATATTTAATATTTTCTTTTTTTACATTTTTCATCCATCTTCTACAAAAGGCAACAACGTTCAATAGTTTCTTCAGTGACGAAAATCTATTCAATTAGGTAAGTTTAAATTCATCATCTTTAGTTTTTATAACTGTCGTATTACATTTAATCTGAACTCTTTTTTCCAACTCTGTTTCAGGAATTATATCTTTTGGTAACATAAAATTAGACATCTGCAGTAATTCTGGACCTTGCTACCATAAATGACTCTCTTTTAGTACACTGGGTAATAATCCTCGTGATGCTGGATCAGCGGGGTTCTCTTTTGGATTAATGTACAACCACTGAATATTCAAATTGTTTCTAATTTCTATAACTCTATTTTTAACAAATGGTGTCCATTTATTTGGGTCGCCTTTTATCCAGGCCAATGTTACTTTGGAGTCAGACCAAGCAAATGTTTTACTGGTATCAATGGAAAGTATTCTCATAACATGTTTAAGTAATTTACTTAACAATGCTGCTGCACATAGTTCCAAGCGCGGTAAAGATATTTGTTTTACAGGCGCAACTTTAGTTCTTGCCATAATCAACGTTGTTTGGCAGGGAAAATCCCTGCCAAACAACGTTGATTATGGCAAGAACTATTTATTAGATAGAGATTATTACTCAATACTCTAGTATAAACTACGGCTGCATATGCTGATTGCGAGGCGTCTGCAAATCCATGTAACTCCACTTCCACATCAATAGTACTTTCATTCCATCTAGGAATCTTGATTTCGGACAGTACAGGTAAATCATTTTTATATTTATTCCATTCTTCTTTCAGATCATTCGACAGTTCTTCATCCCAATCTACTTGTTTTAGCCAGAGCTTTTGCATAAATATCTTTGCTTTAATTATGGCAGGTGATAACCAACCCATAGGATCGAATAAAGAAGCTATCTGGCGCAATATATTTCTCTTAGTAAGTAAATTAGTATTTTCGCTTTTCATATAATTAGGTGCTATTTTTTTTTTTTTTTTTCTTTAAACTGTCCTCATTTGTCTCCCACATAATACCCAAAGTCTTCACAGTCTCTTTATGATTTATATCTAATACAATACTATTCACTCTTTTCTCAGGATCTATTGAATTCATAAATTCTTGACTATTTGAAGATATTTTTTGTAATTCAAATTTTCCCTTCAATAACATTTCTGCTAACTCTGTGCATTTATCGCATCGCTCACATTATCAAAACCAGTTAATACATCGTCCATATAAAAGTCTGAATTCACAATTTTCGAGGCAACAGGATACTGTGTATTTTCATCTTTAGCAAGCTGTCTCATGGTTTTTATTGCAAGGTAAGGTGCTGAAGCTATGCCAAAGGTAACTGACAGTAATTTATAGGTTTGTACTTCATTATTTTGATTAAATCTATATAATATTCTCTGATATTTTGTGTCTCTCTCTTGTATTTTTATCTGGCGATACATTTTAATAATATCCGCCACAAAAACTATTTTATGTGTTCTCCATCTTAGGATAATATCTCTTAACTCTTCTTGTACATTAGGTCCAATCAAAAGCCCATCGTTAAGTGATACTCCGTTTGTACCTCGACACGAAGCATCGAATATGACACGCACTTTCGATGTTGTTTTATCATCTCTGAAAACTGCGTGATGCGGTAAGTAGACTGTATCTTTCTCTCTCTCATCTTTTACTAATTCCATATGGTTTAATGTTATATACTCTTTTAACACATTATCATACTCTCGTTTTAAGTTTTCATTTCCAGCCAATCTTCTCTCTAAACCTCTTAATCTTTTCATTGCTATTTCTCTAGAATTTTCAGGTAAGATTGGATTGTCTCTCACAAATGGTAAGCTGACTACATATCATCCTTGTTCATCTCTCATGACTGTTTTCTCATATATTTCTTCTGCTCTAGCTTCTTGGGAGGTAAGTGTATTTTTATTCTCAGACTCTAGTGACTCACATTCCCAAAATCTCTGTAGCATATTATCTAACGTTACACTCAAATGCATACTAATAATTTGGCCCTTATTTGGTAATCTCTCAACAGATTCGCCGCCAGATATTATCCACCCTAAGTAAGTTTGTTGGGCGATTGGTTCTCCTTGCTTTCTCTTTAAAACTCCACTCATCAAAATATCTGTGTAGACATGAACACCCAATAAAAGGTCTACATTTCCAGGTGTATGGTAAGTTGGATCTGCTAACTCGATGCCACTGAAATGTGTCCAATGCTCATAATTTATTCTTGTAGCGGGCATGATATCTGTAACATGCTTAATTACATAAGCAGTACACTTTAATTTATAATTTTTTTTTTTTTTTTATTCATTCTAAAGGATAACTCAATCTCCGCCGCGTGCTTGAACGGGGTAGACATCTGTCCAACTGCTGACCTTCTACATCTTTACATTTCAATTGTAATCTCTCTACAACTGCCTCACTTATAAATGATTCTTCTGAGCAAGGGTCTATTAAAGCTCGAACAATCTGTGGCCCTCTGCTCGTTTCTAAATTCACCAAAGCAGTAGCAAGTAATGACACACGGCCTCTCTTCAGTCTCATTATTAATAGTCTCTAAATTTGGTTTAGTTATATGTATCAACGTGCTTTCTATTACAGATATCGATAAGCATAATTTAAATTTTTTTTTTTTTTTTTTCACAAGGTAACTAAGATTTGTAGTTGATGGGTGAGAGAGTGCTTCCCAAACTCAGATTGAACTACCATTATTGGAGACATTCTCATACTAGCCGATGGAAATTTTCCCCGAGGTAGATGGCCCCGATGACGTTGTTAAACTGTTGATAAGGCTGTCCACCTCCGCTAATGTTGTAATGATCTCTACCTTTGGAGTTCCTTATCGCTCTCTCACCTTCATAACTCAGAGAACCATCAAAAAAAAAAAAAAAAAAACCTTTGTCTTACCGCCATGGGAACAGATAAATTCCAATATTATCTTCCCCGATTATAGAGTGCAAGAAGAAAATCTTAAGATCTTAACAAATAACACACAAGACACTTAAATTGCTTGCTCGTACATAACAATCCTAAAGAAATAACAACAATACTAATATCACCACTCAACTTATTGCGCCTGCACGCTAGATGGCGACTAAGGCAAATGTAAAAGGCGATATGGTTTCGTTGTGGATGTTCCAGATAAACTATGGAGGCGCTAGCAAAACCTGCGGTTTAGGTTTAGGTTAGGTTAGGTTAGGTTAGGTTAGGTTGAGTCGCGTTCGAGCCGCCGTGGCGTGCGGACGTGCGCACGGTGGCTCCGGAGCGGTGCCGGGTCGCTCCGCGGCCGCCGCCGTCCGCTCCGCGGGCGCCCGGCGTCCGTCGGCGGGGCCCGGCGCCGCTCTGGCGGCTCCGGGAGTCGCGCTGCGAACACGTCGAGACTTGTTCTCCGTGTTTCGTACGCCATCGCGAGTGAGGTCACGGAAGTAGGTCAAATGATGTGTCATTTGGCGGTCGTGTCTGTGACCCTGTCAGATGGCACACCGTGTGACTGAAAAAGTGACTTTGTGCGAAGTGAGTGACAGTGACACTATAGCAACAGCGGGCAGGTGGCCCCTGTTGCTACCGGAGTGGACTTATTGTGCGAACGGCGGGTGTGGCTCGGCCCCCGCCCACGCGCAATACACGGACTGAGGTGAGTCGCCATAGCAATAGTGAGGCAGTGCCCTGTTGCTATGCGAGACGGACTGTCGCGGCGCGCCGGGTACCGCCTCCGTGGCGCCTCGGGGCCGCTGCGGGGCCGCTCGGTGCCCGCGGGGCCGCTGGTGCCGCTCGGCGGGTCGGTGTGTCGCGGCGGACTGTGTGTGGTGGCGCCGGCGGGCGTGGCTCGTCCCCCGCCGGTGCGGGACCGCGGGACCCGGCGGAGCCGCGTGGGCACCGCCGGCGCGTCCCGCGGGACCATTTGGAGGACCGCGCGGCGCACCCGGTGTCGCTTCGATGCGTCGCTCGGCGTCGCGCCGCGCGGTACAATTGTGTGGACTGGCTTGCGGCGGGTGTGGCCTGGCCCCCGCCGCCGCCGTCGGGACCGCGGAGACCCAGCGGAGCCGGGTGGGCGCCGCTGGTGTGTCCCGCGGGACTTGTTGTGGAGGGCCGCGCGGCGCGCGTGGCGCCGCGCGGTTCTATGGAGAGGACTGGCATGCGGCGGGTGTGGCCTGCTCCCGCCGCCGCCGACAGGACTGTGGCCCCTGGCGGAGCCGTGTGGGCTCCGCAAGTGTGTGGACACGGGACTGTTTGTGTGTGGAGTGCCGAACCCGGACTTGACTGTGTGGCGCTGGAGGAGGCGAGCACTTAGTGCCCTCCTTCCGGCGATGGGGACTTGCTCCCCTGGTGGCTCGCTCCTGCCTGGCGTCCGCAAGGACGATCGGCGGAGCGGTGTAGTGGCTCTTCGGAGCGCCGGGCTTTTAAGCCCGATGAGAGTAGCTGCCCCCCCATTGCGGGGGCCGGGCGCGGTGATGGTGAATCCACCGCGTTCGTAGTAGAGCCGTACTACCCCGGGGAACGCCTTGCGACCCGGGGTATGTATGTTTGTGGGGTGCCTTGCACCCCGCGTGAGTGATGCCGTGGACCGTTCCCTAAGACGGTCAGCGGCCCAGACCACTGACGGCTGAATTGGTCGCTGTTGGTGGTCTGTGTGAGAGTCCCCGACCCGTGTCGGGGCACCGGGCGGGGCGGTGTTGCTATTCCGCCGCCTTCGTGCGCCCGGCGTGGAGGGGGGCGGACGGTGCGTGCACCCGAAGTCCCAACCTAGACACTCGGGGCGGCGGATGTAGGGGCATCCAAAGCTCCAAGGAGGCGAGTGGTCAGAGGAGGGCGGGCGCGGAGTGGTCCCCGCGCCCGCATCCGAGCGGCTCCTTCAGTGGAGACCCGCGGCCGGCATGCGGACGAATGCTTCGGCGGACCCGCATGACGGCGCTTTCACGCGGTTTTAAAGGAGGAACACCGGGGGGTTTTGGTGGGTCGGATTCGTCCAGTCCCACAGTATTCGTCCGCTCCCCTTCATAAAG